GACTCTCTTATCAGATGTCAGCGAAAAAAGCGGCTTCCTCATGTTATCAGTTGAATGCGAAGGGCAGGGAAGGGATTTTAAGCAAACCTGAAAATCAAAGTTGCTTCAGTTTTTTAGTACTGATTGGTAGGAAGCATGTGATAGATTGGTATACTTTAATTTTATTCTTATCCAATTTTAGCAGGATTCATTATTTGAAACGCAATTGCAATAGATCACTAATCGAAGTAACAAAAGAGTTAGAGTAATACTGGGGAAGGACTATGCGAGCACACCCAACGAAGTTTCCTTGATACTAGCTTCCCTTCTGTCTCTCACAACCAGGCGAGTTTATAACCTTTAGAAGAGTTTCTTAAACACATCCAATCCCAGTGGGTGAAGCCAGAGTTCACGGCGTCCGAACTCGAAGGGGTCGCTCCATAGGAACACTGAGTAGACCCGCGTAGAAGCCAGTACATATATGGGAAAAAGTAAACATGCAAAATCATTGACCAACTTAACTAACACTAGAAAGGTAGAACACACCAGCACAGAATCTCAAATTGAAAGGCACCTGCAAAGTTCACTGTCTAGTTGGATTCTTCTAACCAAGAAAATCTTTCATTGGTGTACTTCAGTCAGCTACAATTTAGCCGATTGGGCAGAAACGTCCCTATAAAGTGAACGCTCTTTAAGGGAACACTCCCTCCTTATCACTAGTTTGGAAGGAGATTGCGTCAGTGTTTGTCCTGATGTTTTCTTCTGTGTCAGTCCTGTTGTGGTTTCAGTTTCTACTCCCAACGACGGACCTTTTTGTTGTGTTGTCTCGCTCCAAGGAGTTCCATACGGCATACTCCATCACATGGTTTATCAGAACGGCGAATTTTCTTCAGCCATTTTTCGGCATGTTCGTGAAAGCCTCCGCTTCCCAATCGTTTTGTGCCCTTCAGACGAGAAGAGATAAGAAATTACGTGCGTGTTCCCTGCCGGCTTTACTACTGAATCTGCTTAAGTCAGTTTTTATCGGATGCCCTCAATCCGTTGGCAAAGCTAGCGCTCAGATTAGCTTCTAATACGAATACTACCCAGTAGAATCGAAGTATTGCCTTAGAGGAGAAAAGTAACGCTTGAAACGAACTGGTCTCACCACTTAACGAGAGTCGGATGCAGGTATTGATTGATCACAATCAATCACATTCGGGCACACGCGTGTTTGGCCGTTTCACTTCAACTCGTCCACTTCCCTGCACTGGTTTTTTAGCATACAGAAATGATTAATTTTATAGCAGCCTAATTTATTTTCTCAACATATAGCTCACGTTTCTGAAACCACTGGATAGGAATTCGAGAAAGTTCCTTGTCCACATCATTAGTAACTTCGCCCGTAACTGGTTTCTTTAAGACGTGTGTTTCTACATGTTTATTCTGTCTTACCAGGCAAACAAATGGCCTTCCATTAGAGCAGTTTTTCTGGACCTATACGACCTTTCTTTTCTTGGCTGTTAAAAAGTAGGCTTCGTCGAGAGCACTCCCCCCGTTGTAAAGTGTGATGTGATAGATCCCTCCAGAGAGATGTCAGCTCCGATATGAGATTAAGTGAATGGTTGTAAAAAAAACTTTATGTTTACTAGCCCTTGAAGGAACTCACTGGTATTGGTGTTTTTTTCTGCAACATTGCGTGTCCGTGCAAAAAATCGAATTTCGCGGACCGATGCGATCGATTTGAGGGGGCGCGTGGTGCCCTTCCGGTTGGTTCATCACAATGACGTCGGCTATTTGATGACCGCCATTGTAAAATCGCTCTTCATCGAGTCTTCTATTCTTTGACCTATTCGGAGATTTTATTGAATGAACAGGTGGTCCTAATAGCTGTTTGCCGTCTGGTTAGAGCCAGCAATAGTTCCCGGAAGTCGGCTTCCATCTTGCCACTTTTTTTCCCGTTTGTCTTGCACACTTTCATTGATGCCCTTTTGGCTGTTTTCAGGGTATCCTCTATCTTTGCTGTCACACGTTGTTTACAGCTTTTATCGTTATGACACAGCCTTGAACTTTTGCGTATGTTGAAATCAACTAACGCTGGGAAGCATGGTAAAGTGCCTTTCCAAAGGCCTCCCCGAAAACAACAATACTATTTCGACTCGATAAAAACTGGTTCTTTGATCTTTGGTTTGTTGGGTTTATTGGTTGTTGGTTTTTATGCCGTCAACAAGGTTTTCAGACATTTGCAAACAATTTTCCTGCACCTTTTACTTCCGCTAAAGGAAACAACAAGGATCACCAAGTAGCTATGGGTTAAACTTGGGTTAACTTTAGCGAGTTTGTTGTTCAATTAGTAATTTGAGATTCAATTAGAGCGATTGGTGGCGTGTTTTTTTCTCCTTCACAACTGTCCCTTGATAAATGGACAATGCATTCATCGATGTGTTATCTCATTGTTCCTTTGCTTTAACACCTTCTGTACTGCATAACCACCCTGCTGCATATATAAAATGTATTTATTTCATATTCTTGTTTGCCAATTAGTTTCTTGTCGCTCTATCCTCTCTGGGGATCCGCTTGGTTGACGTTACACCTGAAAAATGGACTAAACGCTGATGAAGAAAAATGAAAAGTATCGGAGAATTAGAGCTATATTGTAAGGACTTCACAGAGTATTTGAGCAAATAAAAATAGTCTGTTACTATTTGTAAAAAAAATATTGGAGTAGGAAGATGTTTCCAATTGTTTGGAGTTAGCCTTTTCCTCTCTTCCTTTTTTTGAACTTCCAAGCTTTACCACGTTCTCTGAACTTAAACTCAACTTCATAGTGTTCCCACTTCCGTCTGGGCTTTTACAAGGGCCATTTTAGCCTAGTGGCTCTACAGGAGGCCCTGGAACGGAAGAAAGTCAATTTATTGATTGTTTGCTCACAAACTTTTTCTATGGTGTCTCTACTGAAGGCGAATTTCAGTGTTTGAGCTATGTTTTCGATGTTGAAAGGATTAATCAAGTGCCCGAGCTGAAAGTGTAAAACACTTGATTGAAAACGTCGACGCTCTATGGGGAGTTCAAGGATCAGAGCGTCCATATCTTCGTCATGAAGTATGTTATCAGCTCTCCTTTGTAAATAAAGGAAGTGCTCATCTTCACACGTGGGCTGAACCATGGTCAATAGGCGGCAGGAGAAGAACAGAAAGCCCAGGGCCTAGCCTGTTTTCTGGGAGCCTTAATACAACTAGAGAAATGAAAATCCAGTACAGGCACTCAGTCAGGCCGACCACGGGTCCTGGTTCAAACGAGTGTATGATGCAATGCAACTACATGGCTGCCCCACCTACCGGCTCGGTTTATATAACCTTCGGAGAAATCTCTACCAAAAATGATAACTTACAGGAATACTTAAGAGTAGACAACTTTCGGTGTGCAATTTAAGAAATTGTGGTCAGAGCGAGTTCCCAGAAACAAAAGTTCATGTTATGACTGCGGTCTAAGCAACAGTTTTTGCCGAGATGCGCTTTCTAGGAGACGTTCTTATCTATGAAATCAACCCTTGCTCTCTATGACATACTCTTTTCCATTAGTACTTAGATATGTATAATAAGGAACCAGTTGTAAATAAAAAAACTAATTTCTGGACAGTTACGAAAGGGCAAAATGGACTGTACCGTACGTAATTGCGGTCCGCATTATCTTCAAATGATCTTCTCCGCACTTCACGGCTCCTGCGTATTCTGGTCACTTTTCATCACCACTTCAAAGTAGTTATGATCAATCATTTTGTACCTAAAGGGTGTACGTTAGTTTTATAAGATAAATAGTCCGATTGTGATTAAAATTTTTCAGTAAAAAGTTACTATAGTTGGCACGGTAAGTTATGCTAGGAAAAATTCCAGTTCTCCTTTCTTTACTACTAGATAATTTACATGTTCAGTGACGAAAGTTGCATGTGCAATAAGAGGCGCCGTCTCAAGTTTCCTCATTTGCTCAGCTGTACTTTTCTTTACTAAACCTTACTCGATTTCTCGTTTTTGACCCCATTTACTATTATTAAATATCTTAAGTGGGTAACTATCACTTTTGAGTTAGTTCGTGCTATCCCTGCCAAATGTTTTAGTCGTTCGTTTTCTCAAGGAGACTTCTAGAATTCCTGTAGCAGCTGATTTTCTGGCAAGTAAAGAAAGGTAAGGGGCTGCATTTCTCTAGTGGTATCTTTTGTGTAACATTTCATGGACTTACAAGTTTTTACTATTTTTGACGTACTTATTGTATGGACCAAGCATTTACATGCAGATTTTCTTTAAATTGCTACGGACATCAAAATTTTTGTTTTATCACGTGCTACACATAGTAAAGCATGATGTTTGCGCTTAGGTCATGATCGATTGCTCCGACCAGACGGCTTTCACTCCCGAAATCACTCACTCTACGATAAACCGATTCTGTTTTCCTCCTACACATTCTTCTCTTCCACTCGCTTCATTTCGGACACTCTCGATCGCTTTCATTAATACTAGCTAATTTTTGTTTCTAGTCAACCTAAGTTACTCTTTGATTTGCACCAAATTTTGTATTTATTCCTAGCACTTTGGCATTTCCGAGCCTAGTAAAATCCCTGACTCAACCCCAATAGTTTATGCTCTTTAGTCAGACATGTTACCAAAAAGAAAAGGGTAACTAACGATCGAGTAGCTGTTGTTGTCGTGGCGGTGGCATGAGGATGAGGAAGTGCTTCTGCTTCTCGAATCAGCACTCATCCGGTCGTCCAGTTCTGCCATAGCGACTGCATCCCACGGGGCAAATCCCATCACTGCTCCCTTTTTTTTGGGCAGTCCTCCAGCCTCTCTTTCTAGCGTTGGGCGTCTCCATGCATTTCTCCGCCTCAAATGCTCTGAATCACCGCCCCTCGTGGTGGATTGCATCGGCGCCCTCCGTCCGTTCTCACAACTACCCCCCTTCCCCTTCGGGTACCCGCCCCTAACCCGGCGTAACTTACTTGGTATTGTCTGACTGTTCGTCCACATGCTTAGTACTCGCTAATAATTATGGCTAATCCACATCATCCTCATCATGAGGTTGATGCCTTCCAAGATGATAACATTATCCGCGATGAGGAGGTAATAGTACACCAAAGTTTCTGTAGGAGTCTTCATGATGTTTTATATCTCTATTTCAGGATATGGAAGGACAATCTGGGGCCGACGGGCCCCCGGGTCCCCTACCCGACTTGCGGGCAATGAGCCTCAAAAGGAACGTACGTCGACTGGACTCCATCGTGCCGACAGCTGGACGAGAAGGTTCCGACATTCAGTTCAACCTCTATAAAGGCCGAGGAGTTGCAGTTTTCACATCTGGTGGTGACTCACAAGGTAAAAGGACCCCGCTTCGAAATGCCTTTGTTGTTGGAACTGAAGTTTCAGTCCGAAAGTTTTATAGGAATGAATAGTGCCGTGCGATCAGTCGTTCGTATGGGTATTTACCTCGGTTGTAAGGTATACTTTATCAATGAGGGATATCAAGGAATGGTTGACGGTGGTGATAACATTGTCGAAGCCAGCTGGAACTCGGTGTCCGACATCATTCAAAAGGTCTTTCTTGTCTCCAGCACAGTTATCTGTTTGTTTAAGAAGTTTAACCGAAAGATAACTACTCGAATAAAATTGTAGGGAGGAACAATCATCGGTTCAGCTAGATGTACTGATTTCCGCCAACGAGAAGGACGAATGAAGGTATGCGGACGAGATTTTTTTCGTAATTTTTATTCTCCCCGTTAGTTTGCGGGCATTGGAAGGTTTTCATATCAGTGACGTTGTTGTAATATCTTTCTGTAATAGTGATTTATCTGTGTGAAGGGGCTGTTGCTGGTTTTTTTTTTGCGGTTGTGATGAGCATATGCTTGGGTGAAACGTGCGACGAAGCAAATCGAGTTCGTTGCTCGATGCTCGAACTCCTCCGTGGCTGTGCCGCCTAGCGACGAATCGAAAGTGCGCGTCGGGTTCCCTCGTCTGCTGTGTTTTTTGCTCAATCTCTCGCGCTCTGCTACACCCATTGATTTCCCTTATAATGCGTATTAGATGGATCGCAGTACTCCGAATGATATACTGAGTCCCAAGGTCAATTTAATCGACCATAAAACCGGTTCAGAAAATGTCTACTGATGTTGGGTTTAACAAACACAACAAAGGCACATTACTGCTTGTAACGACACATTGCAAAGTCCACGATTGTTCGGAAAGGTTGCTTAGAAAGCATCATGCTGAAACAATCGAGATCAGTCAGTGATAACGGAATTGATAGATGGCATTTTGCGGGTGAAAGTGAAAGGTCGTGAATAAAATCGCCCTATAAACCATAACGAAAAGCGGGCGAGAATAGATTTCTGGCTCATGCCTTAGCAAGTTTTATAAATAATATGATCATATAATTCAATATAATAGTTTTTTTCCTTAGGCTGCGTACAACCTCATTGAAAAAGGTATCACCAATTTGGTGGTCATTGGTGGTGATGGTTCACTCACTGGTGCAAATCAATTCCGAAAAGATTGGCCAGGGCTTGTCAAGGAACTGGTGGATACTAAGAAAGTCGGTATCGCTATGAATCGCTCAGAACGTAGTGTTTGATGAGAAATAGTGACATCGTTCAGATCACCCCAGAAGCTGCCAAGAGTTATCCCAATATACAGATTGTTGGTCTCGTCGGATCCATTGACAATGACTTCTGTGGTCAGCATTTCTATTCATTTTTTTTTTCAAATTATTAGTGAAGTTTCTCCACAAAAGAGGTTGTCCTTACGATCCGTGCAGTTTTATATAGTTCACAGCTCCGTAAGAGTACCCTGGGGATTGCAGAAACTGAGACTGCTATCCTTAAGGAATTTTCGTTGAGAACCGCTACCATAAGGTAGATAAGAAGGAGTTTTTCGGTTTTTCTCATTCTTTACCCGAGAGAGTTCCACAAGTATGGGTATTTTTCTTTTCTTAGGTCCCGTTGTATTTCCACTTTGTCTATCCCCATGCTTGCAGGTACTGACATGACCATCGGTACTGACAGCGCCCTGCAACGTATAATTGAGTCTATCGATGCTGTAGTTGCCACAGCTCAAAGCCATCAACGTGCATTCGTGGTTGAGGTCAGGCGGATAAGTAAACATTGTTGAGGCTCAAATCAGTAAAGCTCACGTTCCTGTTTAGGTCATGGGTCGCCACTGCGGTTATCTTGCCCTTGTGGCCGCTCTGGCATGTGAAGCTGATTTCTGCTTCATCCCTGAATGGCCCCCTCCAGTCAACTGGCGTGAAATTCTCTGCAAAAAGTTGCAGGAGGTACGGGTTTACCAGTTCTGAGTCTGTATTCTTTTTTCTTTGCTCTTCTAGGCAGCAGTTCGAGCCTGCCGTGTTATTTCAGATGAGAGCTGAAGGTCAACGACTGAACATCATTGTCGTTGCTGAGGGAGCGATTGATCGAGATGGCACTCCAATATCGTCAGATCTCGTTAAAGATGTCGTCGCTAAGACACTCAAATACGATACAAGGGTACGTCAGGAGGCCCATGTTCGAAAATATCTGCTCAACTAAGCTTCACAGCGTTTTGGTCCTTGACTCTCTTGACTTCGGCCTTCACTGGATTGCCCAGGCTGCTATAGACTCGTATAGGTTTTTTCTGTTTTACTCTGCCCACTCCAATACAGAGTAAATGGCATGGAAGACGGTCATACTGGTATATCCCTATAAAGAGCTGTGCCTTTCAGGTGACCGTGCTTGGTCATGTCCAACGTGGAGGCTCACCTTCAGCCTTTGATCGTCTCCTCGGTTGCAGAATGGGTGCGGAAGCAGTACTCGCTCTTATGGAAATGAACGAGGTAGGTCATAGTCGTTGCATGTTCTACTTTGTTCTCTCCGACGCTTGATTATATAGTGCAGTTTAGGAATCCGAACCGTGTGTCATTTCTATCGATGGTAACCAAATGGTACGCGTCCCACTGATGCAATGTGTGGAGCGAACCAAAGCGGTTGGTTATGCGATATGATTTAAGATTTCTGTTGTGATTGCTAATAGCGAACTCGACGTAATTTTCCTTTAATTTGAAAGAGAACTTTAAGCTTTGGAAGTGTTTTTTATTTCTGGGCCAGGTGGTTGTTGTGCGTTTATGGTTTTCTCACAGACCTAGGAAGCCTGATTGTTGTCCTAATTGTTTTCGTGATTCCATGTTAATTGGCGGGAGATAATGATATTTTCATACTTAAAGAGGTTTTGTATGAGGCCTGTGGAGTACTCAGGTTCCTTTGAAACCAAATTTCGTGGCAGATTCGATCCGTTGCCTTTACAGGTACAAAAGGCGATGAGCGAGAAAGATTGGGAACTCGCTGTGAAGTTGCGTGGGCGAAGCTTCCAACGAAATCTGGAAACCTACAAGTTACTAACAAAACTGCGTACAGTGGAAAAAGACAATCTTTCCGGTGGTCAGAACTTCAACGTTGCTGTCATGAATGTTGGCGCTCCTGCTGGAGGTGGGTGCAAAGCAATTTTTGAAGATTAAGATTCATATAGCTAGCTCAAATTTCGCTAAAACTGCATAGTTATTGGCAGACCTGACCTGTTAACTGTAGACCTAGTGAATGATTACCTGTTTCATCTCCTACAATCACATATTCTATAATAGTAAGGCAGAGTTTTTGTGTTTTATTCTCTGCGAATCTATATCGACTCGCGATGAATTTATGGCTTCCTGTATCCATATACAGTAGTTGTTCTAGACAGTAATGTGGCCGAGAGCATTCAGTGAAGAGAGCTGGTACAGTTCATTTTTTGTTTTTAGGTATGAATGCAGCCGTTCGATCTTTTGTACGTATGGCCTTGTACCATCACTGTACAGTTTACGGTATCGAAGATTCATTCGAAGGTCTGGCAAATGGAGCTTTTAAGGTAAATTGTTTCTCTGAAACCGTTGTTATAGCACTAGGGCATTTCATATACTTCTCCTTTTGCAGAAATTCCAATGGGGAGATGTGACCAACTGGGTGATGCACGGTGGTTCATTCCTTGGCACCCAAAAACAACTTCCCAATGAAAAGAACGTCCCACTGATTGCCGAACAACTCAGAAAGCATAATATACAAGCGCTACTGCTCGTTGGAGGATTTGAGGTGAGTCTTTGTCGGCTTTTGAATAAAAAACTCATTAGAGTGGCAGCAAAGATGTTTTTTTTTTGCTTTACATGACTGCACTTTTCTTTGTCGAGTGTTTGCCCATTCGTCCGCCGCCTAACGAACCAAATCTCGTCGACTTTGTAAATTTTAAGTTCTGAGAGGTGTTGGGTTTATTGACGTGCAGTGTCATGCAATCGTAAAATTGTTCTTCATCAACGGGATTTGGCGCATCAGGGTGTTAGTCATCCTTGCATTTTGGTGTAGTCATGTTTTGCAGCATCGGTTCCACCTTTCTTCTCGAGTGGCTTGTGCCACTCATTGCCATCCGGGCCCTAAATCAATCTCATTTATTGCACACGACTCAAAAATTATGAGCAAATCAAGCAACACAAGTCAATTAGTTGTTCGTTGTCGCCTCTGTAGATGGCGTTGATAGCTGAATCTAAGTACTTAATGTGCCCCATCTCCAGGAACACAAGTTAATACTGTGTAGGATTCGAAAGCTTCTAGTACGAGTCAATTAGAGGTGACAGTGATTCACCGGTTTGTGTAGTTTTACTATTTACTTTTCTTTGCGACGTACCTTGTCGATGAAAAAGAACGGAAGAGCGGTGACGTCAAGCAAATACACGCTCATGATGAGCATTAGTAGGTACACCTTCAGCATACCTGTAAACCATATCTGAATTTAGTTGCCATTTCGTTTCTTTACTTATGGGGTTTTTGTATGATGGATTTTTGATTTGGGTTGTATCCTGAAAAATCTGTCCCATCGAAGGTCCAAAATGCATCTTGGCACAATCCGACATTACTACTACTGGCTTCTATAAGGTTTCAACCAGTTAGGGGAAGAATAGTGTCATTCAGTGCAGAATAAGTGGGAACCTCGTACGTGTGGAAGTGGTTTCAGGGCTTTGGAAAGGACGAATGTTTCGATACATATCTAATGAACCTCTAGCATGAAAAGTTCGTTGATACAAGTCATGATTGGATCCCAAAGCCTGTGGCTCAAGAAAGGATGAGAAAGAGAGAATTACAATTCTGAGCTCACTAAATGAATGGCTTCTCGATGGGAAGCTGGAGCCAGCACAAAGAGAGGAGTGAGACGAGACTTCGTCGGCGTTTTGCAGTTCTTATATACAATCTGTCAGCTGCAGACATTCTGAAACTGATGTGTCTAACTTGGAAATAGGGTGAGCAGCGTATGGGTTCTGATTAGTCCTTTTCCTTGCGAAGTCTGTGGTTCAAAACGTCAATGATTACAACTATAAAAAAGTTCTGTCTGGGTTCCCAAACTTGTGAGGGACTAGCGATTACGTCTGTAGATAGCTGCAACGTGATTAGTTTCTTCTGAAATAGTTCAGTTTTTCTTATCGTTTGGTCGTATACCTCTTATTCTCAACATGAAACCAGTAGCATTCAGGCCTACCATTCCACTCTCATTTTGTCGAAGAATCGTGAAAAATACCCTGAGTTCTGCATTCCGCTATGTGTCATACCATGCACCATCAGCAACAATGTACCAGGCAGGCTTTTTTAATTGTTATGAGATTTTTCTACTTAAGCCCAAATGCTCGAAGTAGTGCTGCTTTTACTAGTATCTTTGCAGGTACTTCGATATCCTTAGGTTCTGATACAGCTATTAATGAGATCTGCACAATGATCGACAAAATTAAGCAGTCAGCTACGGGAACTAAACGAAGGTGAATGGAAAATGGCTGGCTTGAATGATATGTTGGATATGTAGATTTGCCGTTTAGGGTGTTTATCATTGAGACGATGGGAGGATATTGTGGCTATCTCGCAACACTTTCTGCCCTCGCCTCTGGAGCTGATAATGCTTACATTTTCGAGGAGAAGTTCACCGTGGAGGATATCATTGAGGATGTGGAAGTGAGTTTTCTCTGAATTATCGGCGTTTCTGCCTCATACAGTTTACACGTTAACTTCAGGTCATCGCTGCCAAAATGGCTCAAGGAGTTCAGCGATACTTGATTGTACGAAATGAGTATGCTAACAAGAACTTTACAACGGAATTCGTAAAGCAGCTGTTCGCTGAAGAAGGCAAAGGCGAGGTGAGGTCCAACATCCCAGTTTTCTATAGGTCTCTTTTTCGAAACATTATGGAACAAAGTTTTCGAACAAAATATTTCTGTTTGATCGGTAAACAGTGAGAGTGGTGTACGGCTCGATGTTAACGGTAGCACTGAAAGTATGGTTGCTCATTATCGAAGCGTCCTTGCTTTTTTTTTTAACAAGATTCAAGGAGCTCCTCGTCCCAACTAATTTACATAGCGCACTTCATCATTCCGTTAGTCGAGATCGAATGAAAAAGCGCGAGTCAATGATTAGATTTAGCAGCAGGTGGTTCGAGCTCAGGAGGCATTTTATATTTGAGAGACATGGCTTCGTTCTGCTATCCAGCAACAGCTGCTGAATTTCCTTTTTTTGGATAAAGTAGAAAGAGAACAGTTTACCTGAATTCATTTGTATGTTGAGATGAAGACATGAGCACAGTGGTTTTGTAAATATGTACATTCACCTCGGTTCCTTTCAGTTCTCAACTCGTATCAACATTCTTGGTCATGCACAACAAGGTGGTAGTCCGACACCATTCGATCGTAACATGGGTACGAAGTTAGCTGCAAGAGCTTTGGAGTACATTATTACACAAATTAAGGTGTGTCCTTTTCATCCAACCTCCTATTCCGCTTACTTTTTCAATCTGTAACTACTTCACATTAAGGAATCAATGGTTAATGGTGTCGTTTCTACAAAATCTCCTGAAACAGCTACCCTTCTTGGCTTGACTGGAAGACGTGTGGTGAGTCCAGTGTTTATTTCATTTTGTAGAATTATTTTTTTTTTGTTTTATTACCTTTTCCTGTGGTGCTTTATAAGGCTATTCGCTCGCTAGAAATAACATAACATCGCATTTAAAACCTCGAAATTGCTTTATGCTTTGTTTTTCCTGTTCCATCAGAATTTGGCGCGAAGCCAAGGGCGTTTTCATTCAATTTCTGCTCCATAATTGGATGACAGAGCAGTGAGGCGTGGAAAAATGCAGCTCCTGAATCGAGGGGCTTCAATACGGAAAGAAACCAAGTGTTGTTCATGGTGCACGAGTATAATCTTTTCTGATTTGATTGTTGGAAACCAATGTTTTGGAAAATATTTTTGAAATTTTACTTTTTTCCCCCTTACCTTTACCTCATTGTTGCAGGTTTTCACACCGGTAGAGGAATTGGCCGCTGAAACTGACTTCGATAAACGTTTGCCTTGTGATCAGTGGTGGCTGAAGCTGCGACCGTTACTTCGTATTCTCGCTAAGCATACTTCAATCTACCATACGGAAGCTATGGAGGATACAGAGGATTACGATTAGGCCCCGTGTAAATTGAATATAGATGTTCTATTATCGTCACAGTATGAGCGTAGTTGATTTCCGTCAAAGGAAAGAATCGTCGATCCTAGTGGTGTCAACTGTTGTAGTTGCGTAATAATAAATTGTTTTTTATCGATTGAACTTTTATCCGATCATTGGGATTGTGCTGAGTTGTCCCTTAGGGTTCGGGCTAAGTCTAGTAATGGAAATTCCAAAGCACTTCCTGTCAGTGTCCTGCCCTGAAAGTTTTGAGGAGTTGTAGGCCCCTTTATTAGCTATAAAGCTGTGATTGAGGTTGCACGAAACACAACTTCACATAATGCTACAATTACAAGGATTTACTTTACTCTCTTGGAAATTGTCCGAGCCGACTTCCATTTGCACTGAGAGACGTGCGACCCGTGACCATCGCTGACAACAGATGTGTAGACTTGGTTGTTGTCATCCCTGGTCTTAGATCCACGACAAGCATGCCCTTTAGGATTTCCGGATGTTTTTCCATGGTGGGCTATCTATGCTTTGAGCATTCCCGATGAAAGTATTGATGGCCTGGGGAGGGAGAAAGTGGGGGTTGGGTGTTATCCCTAGCAAGCAAACCATCATCTTTTTTATTTTTCGGATGAAGTCTTGCTACTACACGGTAATGCCGGTGCTGAACCCCCTTAGAATTCAAAAGTGCAGATGAAGTCGGCCAGGGTTTTAATGGCCCAATTCCGCATTATTTAAGAACAACTACAGTACCTATCGAGAAAGGAAATCCTGCATGAAGGCAGAACACTTCTTTTGATGCCACCAGCTTGAAATCAGACATCACACAATCTAGCAGTGCTTGGTTAGTTAGTTGATCTCCTGAGAGGGAATTGGGCCGTTCCTATGCAATCATCCTATTGATTTAACGATTCCACTATTGCGCAGTCATTTGTCAGGTAACTTGCTCAGTCGGACGATTAATAGTCCTTCGAAGAGAAATTAGCGTTGAAGAAAGCCAATAAATGTCGTTCTCTAGTAGGCCCAGTTCAAAGTACGTTCCTGCGGGGATGGCCATAAACAGTAATGGGATAGATCTCGATGAATGGTATACTACTGATGGACGAAGGTTGGGACTTCGATTCGAGCGTCAGAGGAAGAACTGTGTATGACGGGTGGTGTTAGCTAAGAAGATCACCTCAGAATGAGCCCTTTGCTACTGTCACTTCGAATATCACAAGTGTGGGAGGGAAGGTGCCCTGCCATCATCATTTCCCTTCAGGAAAAGTTCTGTATTCACTGTCTACTCAATGTCCAAGAAGTGTTTACCCACGCTCATTCTCCTGACAAGGGTTTTTAGAGAAAGTTGGCTTTCAACTTGAAGCGTTTCTGTTGAAATTTGAACATGGCGGCCAGTAGGGTGGGCGTGCGAGACAGAAGGCATTGTTAGCCTACACCGGTGCGCAACATCGATTATGTAGTTTTTTTTTGTTAGCATTCGGCGCTTTATATGTTCAGCAGGCTAATTTTGTTAACTAGCCATCATACTCATGCTCAAACTTGTACCAGTACCATTTAATGATGCCATAAACCGCCATGCACCCGCCGCGAGAGCGTTTACCTTTCATGAAGGGGTCGCCTGATGGCTGTTTGCATTGTACGTTAAAGGGCCAACTATCAAAGATTACCGTCAAGCAAACAACCTTGTTTTCTTGGGTAGGTTTTCCCTTCGACCGGTAAGAGGAAGGATTGCTTTCGGGAAGATGAATCTGATGTGGAATCAATAGATCAGATCGGGTCAGTTTAGAGAGTTATGGATAGACACCGGCAAAAAAAGATGGGAATCCTCCTGATGCAAACCGAATGTACCTCCGCAACACCTCTGCGGCCCAACCGTCCAAAATGTTTCTCTTCGGGAAAAAATATTCTGAAGTAAGAAGACGCCGGTCTTGTAGAGTTTCAGTGCACTTGAAAACCAGTCCGTACGGCTGTTGAGATAGTCTATAGGAGTAGCTAAGTAAATAGTGAAGTAATTCATTTCATAGACTGTTCGTAGGCGTCCAAGTTGACTACAAGTTCAAGTCAGCTCAAATTCATCTTTGCTCTTTCTTGCTGAGGACGTATGCATGCCGTTCTTGCTTTCCATATCCAGTTGCTGTTTGCTGAAGGTATAAGGGTCACAATGTGACCCCTCTTCACAAGTAACCATACACAGGGAAAACAGACGGTCGGGGGGTTCACTGCAGTCGGCTCATCTTACAGTCAGTAGTTTCCGTGAAGTGAACCACAGTGTCGAAATAGTGATGTCAAGAGGTCTGAAATGATAAAAGGACTCAAAGAAACGGCCGTAGATAGCTGCCGGGAGAGGTTCCTTAACCGAGCTTCCACCAGGATTTTTTTCAGGATCATTCAGCACGATATTTGCAAGGAATCGGCTCCACAGCCCAAGCTCCTCCATGACGACTTGTCGTAAACGTCCCTGCGAAAACAAAGATAAAAACGAAGAGGAGGGAGTCGATGATGGGATCTTTCCTAGAAAGGGAAGGGCCACCCCAAACGAAGGATAGAGAAGAGAGAGTCGTAAATCATTGATTCCACTTGCTGTGAATTTTTGGATGACTGGCCAGCGAGAGAAGCGAGTTCATTAACTGCCTAGAATTTCCATGTTGATGGCTAGAAACACAGCAAAAAACATGATAGAGGGGCGTTTGGAGAAGCTTAAATCCCCTTTGTTATCCCCATTGACGTAGTGATTTTATCACCACTTCCGAGGATTTCTCTTGTTTGCTCTCCTTAGCAACCGAGAAACTAAAAACAGTAGCTCGTTACTTATTAACGTTGCATGTCGTCAAGGGCCCGTGTTGAAGTAAAGAATGACAACGAAGGCATGGGCCGTTGACATTTCATGGCAATCGATGTCCAAGGGAAGTTGCGAAGCGCCCATTTTTGGGCCAGCATCCAGGCTATGAATGGAAAACATTGCTGTCGGTGCAAGAAACTCCGGCTTTTCTCATGATGGCCACTTTAAGTGTTGACGAAACTTCTTACGGCTTACGAATGGTTTTGTAGAAGTGACGTTGCTGATTCCAAAAGTGTAGGTTTTCGATCGAATTGTTGGACTTACGAGAAGGAAATCGATTGGCTTCTTGAAAGTAATCAATCGAGTATGAGTAAAGCATATATGGGATTTAGTTCAGACAACTTCCAAGAGACTTGTGAAGCTGTATGAGACAAGTGGTGCAGCTCCCTTACTTCATATGAATGGTGCTCATCAAACGTTTTCACTTCTCACGAGGGTGCTCTAACATTCTCGCCGGTGATTCACCAAGGGCTTGAAAACCCGTCAATGTTTTGAAAAAAAAGGTTTGTTCTTTTGGTGGATAGTGAACAGGCGCTTGAAATCATTGCTCCAAAAACAAAGAACAAATGGCTCTACCGCAAATTAGCACGTGGGTCGAAGACTCCTAAAATCACGTCATACATATTTCTCACGTGGAATCGAGTGCATGGCGCATGCCAAGAAGGCGTACTTGATCAATGATCATTACTTATTAACTCTAGTGGTAAAAAGTTATAGTTTAACAGTAAGAAGTTGTTGAGTTCATGCAGATGAAAGCTCTGCAGCTTCGGGCCAGCACTTTCTTCGTCTCCAAATGAGCTTAGGCATCTTTCATGGAATTCCTTAGCCTCTCCTTTTATCGCATTAGTGTCTGAGAAGATTTGGAGTTTTTTTTTTCCTCACGCCACAGCTGGTAATCAAAACAATGTGATAAATGATAACAAGCTGCACGGTGCATATGACTTGTGAGCTTGTATCTTTAAATAGATAGATGACTCATCGGAACGTCTTGTCTTCTAACTTCTGGTCTAACGGGAGTCATGGAGTAGGAGAAACTTCTTGAATGTGTGGGTAATTGTTCAAAACGTACTATTAATTCATTTCGATCATCAGAGATGGCCAGATCATAATCGCAAGTTTAATGCACATTTAGTTTACAAAAACAACTTCGGATGTGATCATATTGATCCCGCTCACCCCACTTCACAAGCACTTCTCCACAATATCAAGCCACTAATTTGACGCTGTGAATGGTCGAAGTCTATAGAGACTTTCAAAATTCGTAGTTCTGGCTCAGTCTCTGTTTTGAGCACAGGTTTTCATGAGGCCTGAATGTTCCTCGGAGGCTTTTGAAGTGGTTCGGTAAGTATCCGGTGGGAAAACCCATGGTCGTCATTTCTCAACCTGAAGCTTTGGACCATTTGTCATCGTCCCAGCTGAGAATGTCACCATAATTCACGGACCTTCCAGCTGTCGTTTTCAACCGATATTGAGGCCGAATTCTCCTACAAAAGACTCTTGTTAAATATTTCTAAGGAACTTTTACGAGAGCGTCAATGCAGCTGCTTGAATTGGAGTATAGAACCCTTTTTGGTACAGGGGCTCTTCCAGACTATCTGCAGAATATCTGCAGATCTAGTAACTCGTAAAATGTCTTCAAAGTACTGTAGATGCGAGGTAACGAGGTGGCGAGCCACTCTCTGAAAAGTATGAAGTTGCTCGCCAATTTCTGGCTCCTACAAAAAAGAGTATGTCCCTTTTTCATTTTCTCCATCTGAGACATTGGAACTTTACAATTTTTACGTTTTTACATGCCTCTTAGTAGTTATTGAGCCAACTGTCATGGTGATTACTCTCTTATGGCTTCTTCATTTTAAAGGAAACTATTTAGCCATCTGCTCACAATTTCCTACAAAAGCAATCTACTCTTTTGGAATCAGCACCAAAAGCCTACACAATCATAGAAAATGGCATGGACAGCTTTGGAAAAGGATATGTCTTGATCTTCATTTTTCTCTCGACCCTAGATATCGTCGTTCCTTCATTCGATAGCGCCCATACCCTTGCCTGTGCCCTCTGTATTCACTATAGTGTTTGAGTTGTTTGTTTGTTTGTTGTAGTTTTTGAAGCCTCTCGATTTCAATGAAGCGCTCGCTTCCTTTTGTCCATCGATGCTAGAGATCAAGCAATCCAC